AAATCTTTAAAAATAAATAAATAAATAAATATACTTCAGAAAAATTCCACTTAAAAACAATTATCTGCTTTGATGAAAAAGTTGCTGAGAAAACCTGAAGAGGGTTAGTGGCTCTTATGGTTGTAGAGTCCTGATTTTTAGTGTAATGCACTAGACTTGCAAACATGAAAACATTATTTTGCATTTTCTCTTTGCACTAAGCCTATTGCTAGGAGGCAAAAATGAGTGGACAAGACATCCTATCCTTTGAAAATTGGTTTTGTGAGGAGGGTAGGCATAATTCCTATTGCAGGCTGTTATATAACATTTTAAACTTGAGGCTCTGTACTTAGTAGGTATTCAGAGAATGTAAATTTTTTTTAAAGACTGAAATGAAGATTGCGTTTGTGTTTTCTTTGCCCCAACCTGATGGCAGTTGGAGCAATAGTAGACTATAGTTCATTTGACTTTTTGTTTTGTTTTGTTTTGTTTTGGGGTTTTTTTGGGTACTGACCTCTGATTTTCTCTGGCAAAGAACTGTGCTATGATTTGAGGGCTATTTAAGAAAACTGATGAGATTGAGTTGTAAGTAACTTCCTCTTGGTACTAGCTCCTATTTTTGTGGCCTAACATAGACTTTGATGACCATTCCTGGTCAATGACAAAACAGCTTCAGCTTAATAATGTTTACTTTTTAAATTTTAAGCTCCAAAGATCATGAGATTCTTTTAACTGCTTGTTAACAGTGTTTTTTTAAAACAATTGATAATTGTTGAATGATTGAAAAATTCATTGCTAAAACCTTGAATTGTTTTTCCTTGATAATTTATAGCTTTATATATTTACAAATAGACTAATAATAATGTTTCTATTATGTTTTTACCTTGATAATAAGTTATATGAAACATTTGTGGGGGATGCCTGGGGTCCTATCCTCTGATCTTGTTAATGTCGAAGGTTTGAAACTAACACAGAGAAGAACATTTGGAATGGAGCCTGGTTATAATGCAGGCTATTATGTATCTTTTTTTTTCATGCAGGCCTAAAGAATGTGACTTTGTCCTGTGACTTTATCCTGTAGGTCATGATAGCACCTCACATATTTTAAGGAAGGTAGTCACCTGAGAAAAAAGGTCTTTGATGTCACTTGGAATTGGATTTAAATCTCTACTTGTATCATTTCCTTACTACCTTGATACTCTTGGATCTGGTGCTTAACATTCCTAAACCTTTTCAGATCTACAAAATCTGAGTGACTTGGATTGAGAATATATCCTGTATTGTGAATGACTTAATCATTCTGCAAAACACTTACCAAGCAGCTGTTCTACCTAATGCCCAGAGAAATTCTATAAGCAGGCAAATGTAGGATGAGCCTTCAAAGCTTAGAAAAAGCTGGTTGTTAGAGCCACCCATCCAAACTTAGTACAGTTTTCTACTCACACCTATTCTTATTCATGTATTTTTTATGGTTATTAGTGGTACCTGACTCAGAAACCTAGGAATCCTCTATTACACATTTTTTCTATTCAACCAGTTATCAAATCCAACCTGTTTTACTTTTTTCTTTTTAGCATAAAATTGTATTATGATTAAATGCTTAAATCTTAAGTGTTCATTTGCTGAATTGTATAATCCAATCACCTGTTAAGATAAAGAATGTCACTATCATCCCAGAAGATTCTCTTAATACTCAAGTGATCCACTTGTAATTCATTGTAGCCAGTACATTTCAGATGGAGCAAAAACTTCATTTATAACATCTATGTATAATAATATGCATTGGTGAACACAGAGTTCTTACCGTTAAGGATCATACAGTTGGGTAAGGATATTGGTGAGTAAATAAGAATGTTGTAATACAACTTGAAAAGGAAGAGAATCGATCTTGAGAATTGGGTGATATCCTGCTATCCTGATCTAATCCAGTTTGGGTATATCGGGAAGGGGGAATGAAATCTAATCTGAGGTTGGTGAGAGGTGTAATGGATCATGAAGAGAAGGGGAGATGCATATTCCAAGGATATTCAGCACCAGGAAGTGAGAGAATAGGGAATATTGTATGGCTAGAAAACAGAGACAAAAATGATACTTAGAGTGTCAAGTAAAAGGTTGGAATAGGGCTGTTTCCTATTGAAGGTCAGCTAGAAGTACCTTTGAGGTAAGGAGTCATGCAAAATGACAATTCTTTGTCAATTTCTATTTCTGAAGTACTTTTTTTTATTTTAAAGATTTTATTTATTTATTTGACAGATCACAAGTAGGCAGAGGTTGGGGAAGGGGATGCAGGCTCCCTGCCCAGCAGGGAGCCCGATGCCATGTCTCAATCCCGGGACCCTGAGATCATGACCTGAGCCAAAGGCAGAAGCTTAACCCACTGAGCCACCCAGGCGCCCCTCTATTTCTGAAGTACTTCTGAACCTTAGTTAAAACTCTTATTTTAGGAATTACTAATTAATGCCACATAATTTTAGTGAATTGTTTTGTTGTCATCAGTATAATGTCAACTACCATTTGTTGGATGTTTAAATATTTTATCTTGGAACAGACTTCATGCTTCATATTTGTGGTAGTCATCCCCAAAGATAATAGTCTCCAAAGCTGAGTCCATTTTCTAGTCCTCAGAACCTGTGTTGTTGTTGTTTTTGTTTTTTTGTTGTTGTTTTTGTTTTTTTTTAAGATTTTATCTATTTATTTGACAGAGAGAGACCTAGCAAGAGAGGAAACATAAGCAAAGGGGGTGGGAGAGGGAGAAGCAGCCTCTTTGCCTAGCAGGGATCCTGGCATGGGGCTTGATCCAGGACCCTGAGATCATGACCCAACGTGAAGGCTCAACCAACTGAGCCACCCAGGTGCCCAGAGTGTTACTTTACATGGCAGAGATTTTGCAAACTTCCAATTTAACCAATTGAGTTAGAAACTGAGATGGGGGCACCTGTATGGCTCAGTTGGTTAAGCAACTGCCTTCAGCTCAGGTCATGATCCTGGAGTCCTGGGATCAAGCCCCACATTGTGGGGGGAGGGGGTGGTCCCTGCTCAGCAGGGAGTCTGCTTCTCCCTCTGACCTCTTCCCTCTCATGTTCTCTCTCTCTCAAATAAATAAAATCTAAAAAAATAAGAAACTGTGAGATGATCCTGGGTTATCTGGGTGGGCCCTAAATGCAAGCACTAGTGATTCTATAAGTGAGAGGCAGAGGGAGATTGCAAACAGGCAGGAGAGAAGTCACATAGAAGACAATGTGGTAATGGACACAGATAACTGGAGTGACCCTGCCACAGATATAAGAATACCAGCAGTCACCAGAACCAATAAAAGAGCAAGGAATAGATTTTCCCCAGAGCCTCTGTTGGGAGTGTGGCCCCGAATAAATTTGTTGTTTTAAGCTCCCAAGTTTGTGGTAATTTTTAGAACAGCCATTGGAAACAACGTGTTTGTTATCTCAGAACATACATTACGCATTTCCTTATGTGCATGTGCTCCTGCCCTTTCCTTCACTGGGGATGGCTGAACTGCCACTTTACCTTTTGAAATAATCCCATTCATTTTATGTAGATCTAGCTCAAAAGCAACTCCCTGATGCTCTCAAGAAAAACTAATCACTCTTACCTCTGTTTGATAACTGATGTTCCGGATGACAGTAAATACTTGTGGAATGAATTAATTCCATCATGTAATTATAGTTGCTGGGTCACCTGTTTCCTCCATTAGATCCTGCCCCCTTTCATATAACATTGTATAAGTTGAAGGCATACAACCATGTTGGTTTGATACATTTATATATACCCTTTATATGCTGCAGTATGGTTATGATTTAGCTAACACCTCTATCACATCATGTAATTACCATTTCTTTTTTGTGGTGACAACATTTAAGATCTAGTCTCTTAGTTTTGAAGTATACAGTGTTATTGACCATAATCATTATGCTGTGCTCTAGATCTCCAGAACTTACTCCTTGTCTAGTTGTAAGTTTGTATCTTTTAGCCTGGTTTATTTTTAAATATTCCTTGGCCTTATTTTCTTGTGTCCATCCCTGTTGCCAAAGCCTTGGTTCAAGGCCATACCTCACATCTGAAACCTACAGTAGTTTGTCTTTCTTCCTCCTTGGATTCATTTTCTCTTTCATCAGAAAGCTTTCACTTTAAATATTCTTGGTCAGGTGCTAATGCCCTTGCTGTCAGATAAGTGCTGGAGCTCCACATTAACCCAGATTGTTAGGATAAGCCTGTAGTCTGCTGCCACCAGGCCAGGAGTTATATGCTTATCCTCTCCTTGGCTGGCTATGAGCAAAGCCAGTCTGTTCCAGCATCCTGTTCCCATACCTTTCCTTGCTCGTTGCTTCAAGCTTGATTCCTTGTTCTCTTTTTTAAACTATCTTCTGCCAAAGGCCTTGGTCATTCTTTTCATCTACTATTTGTTGGATCCCAGAGATGTTCACTAACAGTTAACCCAGTCACTCTAGGCAAGTTATACATAGGCCAAACTTCTGCATTTGTATTAGGGGTGCATTCCCACTCTGAACCATAAACTTTGAAGCTTAAAAAAAACCCCAAAAACAAACAAAACCAATTTCCTTTTTAATAAAATTTTCTCTTCTCTCAACCTTAAGATTTTATACCTGCTTGTGAGCCTACCATTTAAGTGAACCCACTCATGGTCTTTACCTTTTCTGCATTTCCACCCTGGTAAGAGGCTTTCTTACAGTGGGTTGGGGTGAATGCCTTTTTTTGTCTTTTCTTGTTCTGCCTATTTTTTATTTCTGCTTGATTACTTAAAGTCTGATTATCCATAAATATGGATTTTGATATCTACTTGTAGGTTCACAGGCTGAAGTTGAATGTCTGTTCCCCAGTACTTTACCACAATAACTTTGTATGTATTAGGTGGATTCTGCCAGATGTAGATCGCTTCACCATCATATAGACAGTAAATTTCCTATTTTGCTTTTCTTTAAATGTAACAGTTTTAAGTTGAGAAGAACATTAACTTATGTCTTTGTATTTTCTTTTTGATGCTCTAGGTCAGGATGGCTAACTGGTTGGCTTCCCACGTGGTGCCCTACATCTACATCACACCTTAAAGAAGCTGAAGAGAAAATTTTAAAATGTAAGGTTTTCTTTTTGTAAGTTGCCTGAGCTGTTTGCTAAGATCACACTGCCCAGAAACTGGAGATAAGATTCTGTGGTGTGTTAGTTTGTTAGCAAAAGTGCTTTTTCCCCGTTTCCATGTCATCAACAAGTACAGAAGTGTTGGAAGGCAGGGGTTCTTAAACTTTTGGTCGTGGGTCCCTGTTATACTCTTAAATTGGTAAGGGCCTTAAGGAGCTTTGTTTATCAGTTATAGCCATGACTCTTTACCAATTAGAAATTAAAACTGAATTATTTGAAGTATGTTAATTTATTCATTTAAAAATAATAGGAACCCATTATAGGTTAAAATAAATAATATGTTTTCTAAAAATAACTACTTTTCAAATAGAAATACAGTGAGAAAAGTAGCATTGTTTGCAAATCTCTTTGATTTCTGGCTTAATATAAAACAGTTGGATTCTCATATCTGCTTCTGCATTCAGGTTGTTGGTAATCACATCTAGTGATCTCTGTAAAACTCTGCTTCATATCCATCAAAGAATGAGCGTGAAAAGGTATCTTAGTTTTGTTATTAAAATAGTTTTGACCTCATAAACCGCCTGAAAGGGTCTCAGGGACTCCCCAAAGGCCCCTGACTACAATCTAATAGGCTCTAGGTGTTCCAGAATAGGTAGCTTTGTAGAATGGAGCACATACTGAAGTAGAACAAGATAACTTGGTCCAGGCCCAGATATGCAACCAGATGATATCAGCACCTTGGGTAAGTCACTTTCTCAGTTTCCCACTTGTTATCTGTAAAATGAAGAGGGAAGAGGTAGGGTGATCTTTAGCGTTCCCTCTGGTTTTAGTTTCCTAGGACTTTTTAATTGTGCATTTTAGTGGTGTGGAAACCTTTTTATAAATTTTCTTATGAGCAGTGAAATTTACCCAACTTGTACTGTCAGGGCTATCCTGGTATCTTTGGGTATACTTTTTTTTTTTTTTTTTAAGATTTTATTTATTTATTTGACAGAGAGATCACAAGTAGGCAGAGAGGCAGGCAGAGAGCGAGGGAAGCAGGCTCCCTGCTGAGCAGAGAGCCCAATGCGGGACTCGATCCCAGGACCCTGAGATCATGACCTGAGCTGAAGGCAGAGGCTTTAACCCACTGAGCCATCCAGGCACCCCTTGGGGTATACTTTTAAGCAATGTTGCTAATTGTGTAATTTTGTTCTGCTGATATATTTTAGGCGTGGATTCAGAAGAGCAGTTCACATACATGATTATTGTGGATATATGTGCAGATGTTTGCCCATGCCTCCTTTTCATTCTCTGTACCACAAATGGATTTTATTTGTGCATTTGAATGATTCAGGAGTAAGCGACTGTAACTGAATATATCCATAGGAAGAGATAGTTAGTCATCTTACATGCATTTATAGCATGAAAATAAATTTCTATTCAGTCTGTATACTTGGGTAATCTTGTTCTCTACAAAGCTGGAAAAGTTGACATTGTGGTTTACTAAAATAAAAAAAAATCTTGTCAGAAGATATAAAAGGGTGCTAGATGCTCAATTTATGCATTTTACAAACATAAGGATTCCCTACTGCTAAATTCTAGGGATGTAAATAGGAATGAGAATTGGCCCTTGGTTCAGTATCAGATGTGAAAGCAAGTGACTTGTAATACAGTCGGGTGAGTGAGCTATCTATTAGAGGTTACAGATGGTTTGGAAATATGCACACATCTGTGTGCAGAATGCTGACGTGGTTTGGTTTGGTTTGGTTCTAATGCTGCTGGATCATCTCTTCTAAACTGGTATAGCATTTCCCCCCATTTGGAGGCTTGGGCTCTGTTAATATTCTAAGTGAATGCTGGGTTTCCTCTTCACTGCTACTGTGTGGTAACAAAACCCAAGATTATTTCTTTGGTTAAAGCACAGAAACTCCCAGTTCTCCAGTATTTGTCTTCTGCAGATGAATATGCACAAATAAGTGCTTTATATGAAGTGTCTATATTTAGTTGATAATTTAATGTAAAGGAATTTCAAATTGGTTTTATCTTTAGTCAACTTGGGGGAGACTTAAAGTATTGAGTCCTACAGCACTGAAAACAAGTAAAAGTTTTTATCTACAAAATTGTGATTATTTCTATTTTCCAGGGAGATTGTTGGACTTGAACCCACACTACCTGGCACCTCATGCCAGGACTTCCTGCCATGCCCTGTTACCTCTTTCCTACTAAACTTTGAAGTGACTCAGGATTTCAGTTAGATGTTCAGTGCAGATACTGCTAGTCTATCCTTAAATTCATGGTTACTTTTTAGGGAAAAGTGAGTCTGACTTCAATCTTCAGTGATTACTCTTCAGCTGTTAGACAAATTCAAGGTATTCTTTTGTTATTGTCTCCAAAGTTAGAGACCTTCAAATAATGTGTCCCGTGAGCACTGAGTTCCTCTCTAGTTCTAAGAGTGTAAGACCCTCATTTGGCGGATGTGAAAAGAGCTAACATGACTTGCCAAAAGACCTTGGCCGCAGGTACTTGAGAGTTATCTGAGATAGAACTTCCCAATTAGGTGTAATATATGGTAATTGAGAATTACTTGCTTGAATAAGATGTAAGCTTTTTTTTAGGAATGAGCTAATAAAGGCTAAAATCATAGGAATGGATACCAGATAATTTCTAGATTATTTATTTCTGATTTCCTTTAAAATATTCCCCTTCTCAGAAGTAGTGAAACTAAGCAGAATTTCTTTTTTATGTTTTCATTAGGTGTCCCCTGCACATACAAAAAAGAACCTGTTCGTATATCTAATGGAAATAAAATATGGACACTGAAGTTATCTCATAATATTTCAAATAAGACTCCACTTGTCCTCCTCCATGGTTTTGGAGGTGGACTTGGACTCTGGGCACTGAATTTTGGAGATCTTTGCACCAATAGGCCCGTCTATGCTTTTGACCTGTTGGGCTTTGGACGAAGTAGTAGGCCCAGGTTTGACAGTGATGCGGAAGAAGTGGAGAATCAGTTTGTGGAATCCATTGAAGAGTGGAGATGTGCCCTAGGACTGGACAAAATGATCTTGCTTGGACACAACTTGGGTGGGTTCTTGGCTGCTGCTTACTCACTGAAGTACCCATCAAGGTAAGTGAAACTGACAGAAGAGAGGCACCCAAGTGCTAGTCTCTAGTTCTTGTCCTTGGTGGTGGTTGTCTGAGCCTTACAAGACAGATTCTCTTAAAGGAGGTCATATAGCCACAACCAATGGCCGATTTAGTAGCCAAAATAATGATGTCAAGGTTTTCCTGTTACACATGCTACACATTAGTAGAAAGCTTGAGAAAGGACTTTCTATTTGCCAAACTTAGAATGTCTACAATTTAAGCCACAAGTAAAAACTGTTTTGGTGGTATTGTTTATCATTATTGTTATCATTAGACCTGTGTATTGAGCAGTCTTTGCCTAACTTTTCCAGGTTATAATAAGCTCTAAGACAAATGCAAAGGTGAGAAATTAGAAGCCTTGTGTGCCAATGATATCTTTGGGCTTAGAGCAAATCCTTCAACCTTGAAGCTTTAGTTTTCTCACTTATAAAGTACAGAAAATATATCTGCAAGTTGTATCTGACAGGGCTTTTATTATGCTGTGCCCCTACCTTTATGGCTACAAAATTATTTTTCCAAGTAATTGAATTAATGACTTCAGAATTTTGCTTCAGAATCTTGTAATATCTCTTATCTTTACCTTATTTTCTCATACTATATCCTATTGTTTCAACTCTGATTGGAGGTCATTTGAGTGCTAAGAAAATAGAAGGAAAGCTTTTTTTGCTTTTTTTTTTTGCTTAACTTTTGGAAGGAAACAAAAAAAAATCAACATTTTATGTTGCCAATGTATTTTTCCATTGGACTAATTTTTAAATCCAAAATTGCAACCAACTTTAACATTGAAGTCTGTGAATAAGAAATGGGATGATGATGGACATTGGGGAGGGTATGTGCTATGGTGAGTGCTGTGAAGTGTGTAAACCTGGCGATTCACAGACCTGTACCCCTGGGGATAATAATACATTATGTGTTTATAAAAAATAAAAATTAAAAAAAAAAGAAATGGGATGATGGTTATTTTCAGACTGCACATATGTACCTGTGAAGCTGCCCCGTTGCATAACTCCAGGTGTGCTGTTGACACAGAATTGAAATGTAGAGCAGCAGCCCTGTGTAACTGAGGTTTTCTTCCCCTGGAACAGCCGACTTTTTCTCTGTAGATTCTTTATCTCAACTTCAGCATTAACACTTGGTTTTTCTGGAGAGTTTGTAGTTCTGTGTGTGGTAGATGGTGTAGTCTTGTCACTTGGCAGACCCCTTCTCTCAAAAGAAATCCAAATTTTCTTTTTCTAGTTGGCTTTTAGGGTTTACTGTCTTTTATTGTGTTCTATTCCCAATGGAAAGTAAGAGAAGATGAAATGGATACCTTTCTGGCATAAGATAACAGGGCCATTGGGGTGGGGGTTGGTTGGGCTTTCTTTGTTTCTTATCAGGAGTTTATTATGTCTATCTTGTGGTATTTATTCCTTGGCAACATGATACAGGACTATATGGGTTAGACTCTGGCCATGAAACCCCTAAGTCTTAGAATCCTGACCTTTCATGGCTATTTATTATTTGTCAGTTGGTGAGGTTTTCATTTGCAGTTATGAAGTGCTCTGAAGAAATCAGTGATTCAGAAGAGAATGAACACTTTGAAATAATCTATGAAAGAGAATAATAACATAGTTTGAACAGCATGGTGGGCAAAACGTATCTAAAGCAAAGCCAATGATCCCTGCATTGGGATGACTACATTTTATAAAATGGGTTTTGAATGCTTGTAGCTAATGCGAGGAAATAAAACTAAGTACTATGTCAGGACCAAGAATCACTAAGTATTAGTAAATAGATAAATATGAGAATGCTTGAAATAATTAGCATGTTTTAAATTGGCTGAATTTTTAGAAGAACTATATAGACCGTGTTGGATATTGAAGCCTGTGTTCTTCACTGCATAATTTGTATTATTTTTTTAAAAATTTCATTCCTTAAGATTTAATTTATTTATTTGACAGACAGAGATCACAAGTAGGCAGAGAGGCAGGCAGAGACGGAGAGAGAGGAGGAAGCAGGCTCCCCACCGAGCAGAGAGTCGAACGTGGGGCTTGATCCCAGGACCCTGGGACCATGACCCGAGCCAAAGGCAGAGGCCTTAACCCACTGAGCCACCCAGGCGCCCCCATAACTTACATTATTAAACACAAGTTCATTTCAAAATCGTGAGATTCTCTGAATTTTCGATATCCCAAATCCCGAGTGAAATTCAGTCAGACGACTGTGGTTGGCACATAGTGGGTGCCTAGTGTTAAATGAATGAAACAAGGAAGCCATCGGACTGAGGTGGCTCTAATGCTCTGGTGGCCTACATAAGCAAACCAAAATTTAAGCCTGTAAGTACTTGAAGATTATGAAATTAAAACCTAGGAACAACCAAACACAAATAGCCTAATGGGCTTTAAGCCAATCAGATAGTTTCTTTGCTTCCACACCTTTTCTATGCAAGTTTTATTCCGCCTTTCTTGGTGGAGCACACCTAACCACTCAGGTATGGCACTGCTATATTCAAATTGATTTTTGCTCAAATAAACTCTTAAAGTTTTCAGTATGCCTAGTTTATCTTTTAACAATATTAACTGAGGATGGAGCTACATGCTCTAAATGTCTCTTACCTAACTCACTTGATCCAGCTTTTCTAAAAAGTTTTTTTGTTTTTTTGTTTTTGTTTTTGTTTTTGTTTTTTAAAGAGCAGTGTTAAGTTTACAACAAAATTTAGAGGGAGGTACAGACGTTTCCCAAATAATTCCTGCCTCTACATGTGCATAGCCTTCCCCACTGGGACATTTTTATTTTGCAGTCATGAGATTAAAGTAAATCTTTGCTTTTCTGAAAGATTTTTCAGGGAGAAGGATGAGAAGAGGGAGGAAATGGTCTACTAGAGATCAAATGAGATTCATTTAATTTCCTTCACTCACTGTGCCTTTTTCCTTGTCTCTTTTTTTCTCCTAATGGACTTTGAGAGAGCTACTTCATTCTTTGCCTCCTCAGGTATATCAAATGTATTCTTTCCCCCCCTTTTTTTTTTCTTTCTGAAATAAAACAATTTCTCCTTAATTCTATTTAATTACTGTTTCTATGCATAAAGGAAAAAAAACACAAAACTTTTTATTTTTAAAAGATTTTATTTATTCATTTGACAGAGATCACAAGTAGGCAGAGAGGCAGACAGAGAGAGAGGAAAGGAAGCAGGCTCCCTGCTGAGCAGAGATCCCTATGCGGGGCTTGATCTCAGAACTCTGAGATCATGACCTGAGCCGAAGACAGATGCTTTAACCCACTGAACCACCCAGGTGCCCCACAAAATTTTTTTTTTTTACTTAGTCCAGAGCTATTTCCGTCCTCATTTTATGGGCAGCCCCATTCATTTATTCCTTGTTTGTTTTTGTTTTTGTTTTTTAAGATTTATTTATTTGAGAGAGGGAGAAAGTATGAGAGTGCACGGGAGTGAGGGGAGGGGCCAATGGCTACTGAATAATAAATATAGAGAGAGACTCTCAAGTACACTCCCAACAGAGTGCAGAGCCTGACACCATGGTTGATCCCACGACCCTGAGATCATGACCTGAGCCAAAGTCAAGAGTCAGAGGCTTAACCAACTAAGCCACCCAAGTGCCCCTTTTCCTAGTTTATTTTTATAGGACAGTTTGAGGAGAAGAATGAAAGTGCCTAGTTTACTAGACTAATATACTTGTTTAGGAAGCATTCTTTGCTAGAGAATGGGTAAAACCCAATCCATTTTTTTCCCCTAATTTTTGGTACATTAGGTCAGCCCGGGTGCTTCATCTTTATGAGCAGCAGAATGCCTCTGTCCACAGAAGTGGTTTTATGGCGTAACTTGTGGCAGTGGCTGATTCCTGATATGGTTGGAAACTGATCATTCAGCAACTGTGATGCTTTATGTAAAAGCACCTGGATAATTCCTCCATTGAAATATTGGTGATGACTAAAATCCTCTAACATTAACATTATATTCCTGTAGGTCGGTTGTGTTTAAAGAATGTCAAGTGACTGTTTGTGTTTAGAAGGCTTAAGGTGTGCTGGGGAAGAGACACAACTTAACCACCCGAAGAGTAGGAAGCTGTTGAGGGTTGTGAAGGGGAGTAGACAGGTCTGTGAGAACTCTTGATGAGAACCTGGCCCAATGTGGTACCTTAAAGAGGTGCCATGTAAGCTGAGGTTGAGTATCAAAGGGAAGTAGCAGGAGAACATTCTATGCAGTGGGTCCAGAAATTGCTATGTAGACATCTGAGCCATTCAGGAAAGGCCATGTGGCTGGTGAGCAGAGAAGTTAGGAACTGGTTTGTAGTTGGGCCCCAGCCTGATTCCCATGTTCCATCCCTTCAGATGACCTTTGTTCATCTCAGTTCTCTTACTGTGATGTGTAATAGAGATGCCATTGTAGTTTCACTTGTAAATTAATGTGCTGTGTCACAAGCAGTAGGGCCACTCATGGTGTGAGGTGTCATGGGCTGCCATTCTGCCTGATCCCTTAATGTCTGATCCCTTAATGTGGGCCTGGGGAGGGAGTAGACCAAGCCAACGTGAATAGCCCAATATGCTATCTCCTTTCTTTCGTGTGTGCACTCACTTTTTGCTGTTAATTTTCCTTTCCTTCTGGCCCCTGCTGCTCAGGACACCATAAACACCTTGTTATAAACTAAGGAAAAGGAGACTATAGAAAGTTTTATTAACTTAGAAAGTGTTTAGCAAAGAGAATAGATACAATAGAAGAGGTTACAAACTGGTCTTTACTTCTGCACAAAATGACTTTGAGATCATCGAACCTTGCAGCCCTGCCTGGCTCTATTTCCTGACTGTCCAGAGTGGGCTGAGTGTTTCCTGTCCTCCTCTCTCTAGAAGAAAGGCGGCTCTACTTGACCTGAAGTTGGAGATCTTTTGTTTGTTCTCTGGACCTGCTGCATTCTCCCCCCAGAGGCTCAGAGCCAATGGGAAATACCTGGGGCTAACTTCATTTTGAGAATGCCTTGCCTATACACTAACTAGAGTTCTTCCTGTTCCTTTTCCTTGTTCCTTTCCTTGTTGTGTAAATGTGTCCTGTAGATTTTCTTGTGCATTTTGGATCTGAGCCTGAGTGTTCTTGTTGTATTATTTCTGCCTGGTGCCTGACTTTAAAGCTCATGAAAATCAGGTTTATATATTATACCCTTGTTAGCATTCAGACTCAGCTATCATTTTGGAGCAGATGTTAGCCACTGCTTTGCCCTTTAGGCTGTAATCTGCTCACTGTTTACCGTCTTTAAATTCAAGACTTGCTCTGATGACTAACCTGAAGAGGAATGCCTCTTTGTTTAGAAGCTGATGAGCTCTTTTTCCTGCTCTGCCGGTTCTTTGTTTTTCCTGTCGTTGGTGTTTGTTTTTGTGTTGTTTTTTTTTAATATTTTATTTATTTATTTGACAGAGATCACAAGGAGGCAGAGAGGCAGGCAGAGACAGAGGAGGAAGCAGGCTCCCTACTGAGCAGAGAGCCCGATGTGGGGCTCTATCCCAGGACCCTGGAATCATGACCTGAGCGGAAGGCAGAGGCTTTAAGTCACTGAGGCACCCAGGTGCCCCTTTGTAGTTTGAATCAGTCTCTTGCTTCTTGACAAAGATGTCTGATAGGATGACTCAAGTGTGCTGTCTGGTTAGACCCATTCCTTACCCCTGGGTATGAACTAACAATCCCATCAGGCTACCTGCTATGGAATATTAGAGGGTTAGATCTAGATTACTATAATAGTTTAGATATACATTGAAACAAATTAAATTATCAGATGAGGAGATAATCTTTTCACTGGAAGAGTTGGTGAGAAGATAGCCTGAGAACTTGGTCTGGTGCAACATAACCTGTGAGCCAAAACCTGTGATCAGGCTTTCCTGAAGAATAAAAATTAAATTACTCACTGCTCACATGGTTCCAGCTCCATGTGAGTCTTCCCATGCTCCCTGAAAAAAAGTCTTCTCTAGTAGTCTTCCTAGTTTTGCTAGTATAACTAGGTAACATTTACTAGATATTTATTATTCAGTAGCCATAACCTAAGTGCTCCATATGGTCTATCTTTTTAATGAGTCTTAAAACCAAAATAAGCAACAGTTATTTTCTGAGGTCTTTTACATGTAATGATGCAGATGATATATAATTCCAGTTTAGACAGTTTTGCAGAGTTTTTAAAAAATTGTTTTCAGACTTTTTTTGACTGTAACCCCTCAATAAGAATTATATGTGTGTGTGTGTGTGTGTGTCTGAAATAAAAGTGTCATGGAAGGCTTGTTACGTATTTTTCTGTTTCAAATTATACAACTAAAAAAGACTGCAGACTGACCCCGAGTAAATTTTCCTACCCACTAATAGGTAGTGACCTGCAAGATTCCTATAAGAAATAATGGTGTTATAATGTCATCTGGGGACCAGAAGAATCCAGATTGGACTAAATCCTAGCTTATTCTATGAATATAGTTTTGGGGGGTTTTTTTGTTTTTTGTTTTTTGTTTTTTTTAATTTGACAGAGAGAATATGAGCAGGGGACAAGCAGACTCTCCATTGAGTGAGGAGCGCAACATGGGGCTGGATCCCAGGACCCTGAAATCATGACCTGAGCTGAAGTCAGATGCTTAACCCACTGAACCACCCAGACGCCCCTATGAATATAGTTTATAAAATTTGTATATTCTTATAGACAGGGACTAAAAGGAAACCTGGAAAAACACAATACTCCATATGTTTACTGAACACCTACTATGTACTAAGCACCATGCTAAGCTGAAGACAGATCGAAAAATTGTTGGGTCATTTCACTTCCTTTAAAAAAAAAAGTCATCTTCTTAGGGCGCCTGGGTGGCTCAGTAGGGTAAAGCCTCTGCCTTCGGCTCAGGTCATGATCCTGGGGACCTGGGATTGAGCCCGCATCGGACTCTGCTCAGCAGGAGCCTGCTTCCAGGACTTTAAAAAAAAATTTTTTTTTTTTTTAAAGATTTATTTGACACAGAGTGTCAAATCTTTTTTAAAAAATTTTTTTTTTAAAGTCCTCTTCTTTACTATATAAACTTTGCATGATTTGTTAAACTGGCATTTTTATCTAGGGGCACTATTTTGAAGATCCATATCAAACTAGGCAAGCTAAAACGAAGGTGGAAACAACAGTCTCTTAGCTAGAGATAGATGAGACTTCCCCTCCTTCATGTTTTCCTTTGTCCTCTCCCTTCTTGGGTTAGCAGGTAAGAGCTGAGAGCAAACTGGGCAGGATATCAAAATAAATTCATAACAAAATTTAATTATCTTTCAGGGTAAAGTATGTTTTGATGTATCGGAAATCTTTGCTGCTTTCAACTAGGTGACTATTTCATTAATCCCACCCAGACCTCTGGCGTGCCTTCCCTTCCCCTTTCCCTCCTCCAGATCTCACTGTAGACTGGAGTAACAGGAGTTTAGGGAGAAGTCATTATCAGTTAGTCTCTGCCATTAAAAAATAAACTCCTTTCCATCCTCCTTCCCATGCACTACTAGAAAATATTCTCCTAAAACTTTTAAGAATGAAGGCACCCTTAAGTTTATGGAAATCTCACTTATCACGTATCTCCACACAGATTGGTAGTTACGTTCTACAGATGCTTTGAATCTAGAGTAGGGTTAGGACTGGCCTAGAGTTGATAAAAGTTAAGCTTTACCTTTACTGTTAGGTTATCTTGTGTTGCTTGGTCTGTTCTTGGGAGAGAGCCTTCTACCCAGTGACTCGTTGGCATCAGTTAGTATATGGGAGTCAGGAAATGGGGGTTTTAGCCCTACTTCTACATATCTTGGAGCAGGTCACATAGTGCATCTCAGCTTCCTTCTCATCTATGAGATGAAAGATTGGGCTGAGCTCCAAGGGCCCTTGGAGCTCTGTGCACTAGGTCCGTGCTCTAAAGCTTTCTGTTTGAGAAAATGCAGTCAAAGCGAAAGACTCATTACTAACTCATCCTTGTCTGTGGTGGCAAAAATAATAAAACCTTTTGTTTTGGGAATAATAGCCATCTGTGCCCATGTTCTGGTTTCAGTTATGACTTTGGAAAGCATTGTCCATTCATCCTTGGTAAGTTTTTGCTGGCATTTGATGGCTGTTTTGGTTATAGTTGAATATCATTTGTGTAATGAAGACCTTTATGCTTTATTTAGAATCTTAATGACCTGTAATACTGTGATGCAGGCACATGGAAGTATTGCTGATAGTTTTGGTTTTCCCTTAGCAGGAAGAGGTTTTCAGAACATGGAAAAATTAGAACTATTAGTGATACAAAACAATTTTATATGAGATTTGGCTGAAAATTTTCTATCTCTTTGGTCAGTAAAGAAGAAAATTAGCAAAGGGTTAGGAATAGAATCTGAGGTCAGTATATCATGATACTGTAGGTAGCCCTGCCCATGTGCTCATGTTCACCAAGCTAGGAGAAATTTCTGCCACATTATACATTAGCTCTGTGTTTGTGAAAAGTTGCCTTAAAAGTCCTTTTGAACCCAGCTAAAGTGCTAATGCCTCTTACATTTTTAGAATGATTGGCTTACAGGAGACAACTGTTGTTAGTGTCTGAAGCTATTTTATAAGTGTAATATTACTCTTTAGTCGTTTCTGCAGTGTCAGCCTTGTGCTGCATGGAACCATTAGGCTTTTTTGAGTTGTCAGTGATCTGTATCATCTGCCGGGGGTAGCTTCAACAATGAATACCATTCCTCAAGAGTAGCCACATAGTTATGTGCCCTTCCACATACCCTTTTTTATCCACATTTACATATATGAAAAATGAAGCTCTCCTCCTATCATACACCTCTCAAGTCTTACCAAATCAGAAAGTTTACAGGCAATAACATGATATAACTGGTCAGCCATTGATCTTCTCTTTAATGTGAAATTTTGGTAGGTGGTTTTTTTTCTACCTTTGCTCTATAAATTATGTTAATTCTTTAGAGTCCTAGGGTGAGTTTGCCAAATGAAATTATATATATGTTCTTCCTCCAACAGGGTTAATCATCTCATTTTGGTGGAGCCTTGGGGTTTTCCTGAGCGACCAGACCTTGCTGATCAAGATAGACCAATCCCCGTGTGGATCAGAGCCTTGGGAGCGGCATTGACTCCCTTTAATCCTTTAGCTGGCCTCAGGATTGCAGGACCCTTTGGTGAGTGCTTATATTTGTGTCCTAGGAAGGCAAAATGTTTACAGATTGGCAGTAGAGGAGTATATACTGATCACCATTGTTAGTCAAAATCTTAAAAAGCAAGCTGAATCTTTTTCTCCTCCTCCTCTGAATTACTGAATTACTTTTTTTCTCCCCTAAAAAATATCAGCCCATTCATAAAAATAATGAAACCAGGATCATCTCAAAGAGGAGTCTTTATATTGTAAAATATTTTAGGTAATTGGCAAAACTGAGAAGGTGGGAAATGCAGCCCTGGGGTTAGTCAACCCAGAGCATGGGGAGAAGTGCCGCATGTTGACCTGTTGGTGATGTTAGAGAGCCTTTGGCTAGTTGATGTTACCCAGCTGGCAGATCACAGAGCCTGACATGATTGCCTGTGGAGATAACAGGTATGATCACATTATCAGATTCCCTTCTTGCCCCATAATGTCAGAGTGTTAAGAAGATAAAATCATCCTTTTCCACAGAGATATTGGGGACTCCTGATTTGTGTTTCTGGTCCCATTTTGAAGTACCAGTGTTTAGTGTCTGATTTAATTTCATTTGACTCTCAGCTGCTCTGTTTCCATGCCAAAGCCCAGGGACTCTCCTTTCCCTCATTGTTACCATTGATGGTGGTCTGGACCTCCACTGTCCTTCTTATAACTTGTATCAGTGAGGAGTCCTTTTAACTTCAAGTAGCTGAACACGTAAGTGGTTTAAACCATAGGGCCTTTCATTATTGCCTTAACAAGCAGGATGGAGGCAGGTGGTTTTAGCATTTCTTCTAGTAGCTGGCTCATTGACATTGGGGTTTGGACCTGCAACTATGATTCTCTTGACCTTTTTCCTCATGGTGTTTGATGGCTGCTATGGCAGGAAGCCCCATCCTGCAAAGCAGCACTCTTAGCAAGAAGAAAGGAAGAATGGAAAATGGTCTCCTCTGGCTCTTCTGTCCTACTGCCTCCATTTGGGATAAGGAGAGCCATGGGACTGCACAGGGATTGGATGGGCGACCACACCACACTCCCTCAGTGCTCTGACAGACAGCCGTTCTTTCCCACCCCCAACCCCTCACCCCTCCCGAGTAGAGTCACTCCTCTTAGGCACTTGGTCCTCCTTTGATGGACTATTTAAGAACTTCATTTAGTCTGTGCAGTCCTGAAATATAAATGAATTGTGCTTGATTACAGTTACACAGGGAGCAATTATGGGAAGAGTAAAGTATGAAAAGAAACTAGGAGACAAGGGAGGGAGAATGTCTAGGAAGGGCCCTCTCATGCCGTGCCCTCTGTCTCCCACTACTGCTTGTGTGTAGTCAGGGTGGGACATGATTTAGAAAATCAACTGCATCATAAGAATTTTCTGTGGAGCTGTACAGTTCCTTCAGAGGCAGGAAGGAGAGCCAGGAAAGAAGTAAGACTTTGCTAGAATAATGGGCAGTGATAGCAGAAAGGGAAACTGACTAGCCCTTGGGGCCCCAGGAGGGAAAATAATGACCAGATGGAGGCTTCTACTCTTCATCCTTTTTCCTCTGGGGAAAGGATGCCCCTATCTCTCACCTCAGGAGTGGATGTCCTTAGCTGGGAGGATTGGCAATGTCCCAAGCAGAAACCCTGGATTTATTTTTGCACAGAAAGACTTGTTTGCTTCATTTGGATATTAATGTGTTATAATTATGGGAGAAATACAAATTAATAAGTGAACTTGAGCTGCTCTACTTGCCTGCCATGTTTAATAGAATTTATTTTCCTACAAAAACAAGTTTTAGAAAATTAACTTGTATGTTTTGGGCTCCTGAAGCACTTCTGTAAGGCAATATGGAATACTTCTTATCTCTTATTTTAATTCTTAGGGAACTTGAGGAACTTGAGGGCGACTGAAGTTGGAAAGTAGGTGTTTCCTATACCGTGGATCTTCTTAGAAACTTTTGCTGTTCGAAAGGGTATTAAGTCCCCCCAAGTGCATGGGAGATGCCAGTCAGCATGGTTCCAGATCACATGAGGACTGCAGCCTCTAGGATCTGTGCTCTTTTCTACCTAAAGTATACACTTGAATACGTGTAGATTTGTATGCATATAACATACATTCTATAAGCAAACACAAAACCTTTCTCTATTAGTCTATCAGTTAACTATAATTTAAAACATTTGTTTCCTCTTACTTAGGTTTAAGTCTAGTGCAGCGTTTAAGGCCTGATTTCAAACGGAAGTATTCGTCAATGTTTGAAGATGACACGGTGACAGAGTACATCTACCACTGTAATGTGCAGACTCCAAGGTAAGGGTGAGGATTCTGAATTTACTATGTCAGTGTTTTACACTTTTCTTCTTTGAAAACATGGGAGGACTCTAGGATATTTTTATCAGTAGTTAACTGATTAATACTTCTAATTTACTTATTTATGCATGGAGTGCCTAGTATGTAGAACACTACTGGATGCCGATGAGAGACTAAGCAGGATGTATTGTCTTCCCCGAAAGTGCTTATGGATAAGTTAAGGAAGCTTTGGTCCAGGTACCTCTAGGAGGTAGCTGGAGTTGAGAGGTAAAGAAGATTTTGGTCAGGTGGCAGAAAACAGTAAAAGGGAAAGTTGAGGCCAGAACTTTCATTGGGTTCTTCAGGAAAGGCAAGGAGGGGTGTGGCAGACAGTTTAGGACGGGGTAGTTGAACAATTGCGGTAGGCTCTAGGAGATAGGGATAGTCTCATTGCCTGGTGCCTGGCCCTGGGCTGGTTAAGGCAGAGGAAATCCCTCCTGGGTGTGTGGGCAGTACAGAAGAGGCATGGCTCTGGATTAGTTAGTTGGCACATGACAGGCATGTTCCTAGTTGAATCCTTTGCTGTCTCTAAGAATGGGTTAGCTCCAGGAGACATAGTCTCTCCCTAGGTAGAAAGGTTTTTTTAAACATTAAATGTCTTTCTATGTAGAAAATTAAAAATGTAAATACACATTCCATATTTCTATCTTGGTACTGGTTTTTTAACTATAACAGGTAAAAACCTGGTGCCATGCACATGTTGAAAAGTTACCTTCTACATTTGAAACAAGTTACAGTAGGGAAAAAAAAAAACAATTTTAGCTCTCCCCACAGGGAATTTAATGATAGGGTTGCATGTTTGATTTAGAAGAGGGTAACTTTTAATCCACTAGAGTTCAGAGCATCCTTGTTTATCAAACAAAAGCATGTATCTTCTGTGGGAGTTGTTTCTTATACTCTCTAGTATATTATTTTCTATTCAGACTGAGGTTTTTCTTAAATGGGGGAGAAGCTAAACATGAGTGTTTTTCATGGAGGTGGGGGTGCAGTTCATACTCATCCCTCGAAGTCACATGTGTGTTGTTTTCCTTTTCTTTAAGTGGTGAGACAGCATTCAAAAATATGACTATTCCTTATGGATGGGCAAAAAGGCCAATGCTCCAGCGAATTGGTAAAATGCACCCTGACATTCCAGTTTCGGTGATCTATGGCGCCCGATCCTGCATAGATGGCAATTCTGGCAACAGCATCCAGTCTTTACGACCACATTCATATGTGAAGACAATAGTAAGTGTGTGGCTTAGTTTGGGTTTTCAGTTGTAGGTGAAGCCTGCTGTGTTATGTTTGCTTTCAGTGAGGTTTCACTTCCACCGTGTTTTCAGATCTGAGCTAGACTTCCAGCCTCCATCAGGACCTGATGTCACTTGTGATGAGGGACAGGGTTTGACCCACACACATTTTCATGTCCAGACTGGCCGTGCCTGTCCTTAGAGCCGTGGTATCTCCCAGATGGGAGTGGGACATGCCAGTGGCACCTGTCCCACTCCCACCTCACAAGGCAGCATGTTCTCACTTGATTCATTTTGATTTGCTGGCCCTGTCATTAGTGGTCAGTTTGGAATTTTTTTTTTGCATATAAAATTTTAGTAAGGTCCAATAGATTTTTCTTTTCTCAGATTGTGTATTTGATGGAAATACATGAAAGTTGCTCATTCTTTTATGTTTTATTTCTGTGTAGCTGTTCTCTCTTTCATTGCTAAATGTCTTTGCTTATGTGTTTTATTAAGTGCTTTTGCTCACTGACCTTTGGACTCCTTTTCCTTTCTCAGGCCATTCTTGGGGCAGGGCATTATGTGTATGCAGATCAACCAGAAGACTTCAACCAGAAAGTAAAGGAGATCTGTGACACTGTGGACTGAGAACACCGAAGAGGATATGGGAGAGCCTGCTGACTGATAGAGTTCCTCAGCAATACTGTGCTGTCTCCCATGCAGAGTAAGGAATAAAATAACAGAACCAGCAGTCTTCTCGACTATACTTCGCACATACTTTCTTTATGAAGTTGCTTGCACATTTAAACCAGTTAGTGCCTTCTAGAAGAATGGCTTTCCTTTCTCCTATGCAAAATCAAAATATTCAAGAGTCTACAAATCTAATAGCTTTAATAAAAGGTTATTTGCCCCTCTGCTGTACTGAAAAATTATAATTTTTCAACTGAAATTTTTTTCATTTATCTAACTTTGCTATGACAGGTACTTTTTATATTTCAGTCTATATTACCAATTTTAAAAGGTGATTACTGGGTCTATAATTTTATATATTGTAATGGTGCACTTTATTTTCTTTGCTTCTATTTACCATGTCTAATAACTGATATAGTTAATCACAGTTTTGTGTGTTTTTAATGTGAAAAGTTATCACTTGTTTAGAATCTTTCACTTCATTTTTGAAATGGAGTGATGAAATACCATTTTGGCTAAAAAGATGGGACTTTGATCACTAGCATTAATTTTTCTGATTTTCCTCTGTTCTGTATTTAAGCCACGTTTAACATTTGAAGTGTGGTCTATCCTGATGTATCTGCAACCACATAATTCCTTAAGATATTTTATATGTGATATAATTCTATACTTCAGGGAAATATGACATTAGTATTTAAGTGATTTAAGTACTAAAAAGCCTTAACTAGAAGTGTGTCATTCCCCCCCACCCCCATTAATACTATTCTTTTCCATGAGCCAGGATGCAGCATAAGAAACAGATGTCCTTCTGAGGGGATATTAAGACTGCTACCTTCCAGTAAGCCAATCATAGATTGTCATTAACCTCTAACTCCTGTAGATGGGTGCTAAAACTGGATTCCATTTTTAACCACTAAAACAGAAAAATAGGTGGTGCTCTTACGTCTCATGGCACCAAAAATGGGATAGTGTTTGGTTGTTGGGTTTTTGTTTTTGAGGTTTGTGTTGGTTAAATAATACACATACTTGAAGTTATATTATAAAAGCTATATAAGGTTGATTGAACTATTTGACAATAACTACCATCAGGTGTAACACTTTCTTGTTTTAAAATGAAGAAAACTTCTTTGAAACTGTGAAAATTGCCACGTGATAACTGGCTGCTGAGAAGACCCTCCAGAAAAGAAAATTGAATAGGATTGTCATCAACAAGGCATCTTTGCCTTATGTTGGCTAACATTGCTTGTCTAGGAGAAAGGTGGTTATGTAAATAAAAAGCATGAACTGTTTATATGCAAATAAAGGTTTAGTGGTTTTGACTGTTGGTGTTTTAAATGGTTAATTAGGAAATCTGTAGTTAGGAAATGTAAGGTTGTATCACTGTGGATGAACTGCCAGAAACATCAACGTTGTCTTCCTTACAAAGGAATAGGCAAATTATACTGAAGCACAACAGCTTCCCAGTGAGCAGTCTGTCTCACTTGGCACCTTAACTAGGTTACTGCAAAAGGTAACATGAGAGCCAAGACAGGTTCATATTCCTCTACCTAACAAACAAAAGTAGCCTGTACTTTTTATTTAGTATCTTAGAGGGCTAGCTACAAGCCTTCAGTGGCACAAATAATTTGGGTAATATTTTTCTATTTTTGACACACTCTCCAGTCTCTCTTAATTGGGTAAGTGACAGTTTTCACTTGTACAGGAAAAGTTTCTGCAAAGGAAACTTGGTCTCAGCCCTTGGAGGGAAGTTACTAGTTCACTTAGTAAATGGAGTTTCTGACCACAGATGTGCGAAGTGATTCAGGAAAATTGTACCCAAATGTCAAATGGAACTTTCTTTCCTACCAACTGATTTTGCTATGTTTAAGAAATATTGTCATAATTCATTTTAAAAGTTAAATTTTCCCTTGGGTTATAGAATATGTAATTTTGTGAATATTGAGCTAGCCAAGAAGGTCACAATCCTTAAATTCCTAAAAATACAGGGGGTGCTAAATGTTTCCTTAAAAAATTCTATTTCAGTATTTGATCTTTGCCAAATTGTACACACCATACTTCAACTTTATTTTACAGAATAAATTTTACTGTGATAGTTAAACAAGTCAGCTGCTGTATATTTTCTTGAGTTTTTGGTATAGACCAGTCAGTTTATACTAGTTACCATAGGACCATGGATCCAGTGGGTATGCAGTAATGCTTGTTGGCTTTGGGAGGAGAGGCTGCTGTGCACTGCGCTGACCTCCATACAGGGGCTATTTTGGGTTCATGAGGCCCTTAGTGCAATGTCTGTTTCCTTCTAAAACGAATTTCCAAAAAAAAAGTTTGCCTAGAGTTGGTTTCAGAGTATTATTTAGAAAACACTTTTGATGTCTCTCTGTTTATATAGATGTATATTATATATGTACATAATTATATATATTACACATATATATATAGGGGGGGTCCGTCTCTGTATAATCCCAATAATACAAGTTCTTTCCTGTATAAATTATTGGGAAGAATAAACAATACTAGCCGGAAGAGCCCCAGAAAAGAGCCGAGAGGGAAGAGGGATAACCCTATTAGATATTATAACATTACTAAGAACAATATAAAATCCAGGAATTTAGTATATGATAACGGAAGCATGTGATTGATGGAGAAGACTTAATAGTGTTGAGACACACGTGGTTAACTATACAGAAGAAAACAAAGTTGAATCCATTTCTCACACTGCACAAGGATACAATCTGAATGGATCAGAGACCCAGCTGTGAAAATGAAGCCTTAAGTAACTGCAAGAAGATATGTATCAACTCCTTTATGATCTGAGACGAGGGAACACTTTTCTATGACTGAAAATCCAGAAGCAGTAAGTGGAAAAGTTTGTATCTTTAACTGAAAGAGTTTGGGATGGCCAAAAAACCAAAGTTAAAAAGTAAATAAACTGGCAAAAATATTTGCACTATTTGTTAAAGAAGGCATACATTGCTCTAACATGTGAGGAATTTTGAAACTTTAAGAAACGGCAAGAAAAATAGGCAAAAAGATATGAACAGATAGTTTGCAGAAAATAAAAGGCAAATGGCCCTTTAACACGAGGGTGTGCCTACTAAGGGAAGGGCGAATTTAAGCTACCAAGACCTCACCATTTCTTACCTAATCAGGTGGGGAAAATCCAAGTTACACAATACACTGTTGCTGACACAGTGGGGAATAGGCACTCTGAAAAGTATAAATTCCTGTGGATGGAATTTGTTAATAACTAGCAAAATTAAATATGAGTTTGTTCTTTATCTGGGCAGTCTCACTCCTAAGAATCTACCTGAGACAAACTGGCAAAAATCTGAGATGGTGTATGCCCAAAGATCTTCATTACAGCACCATAACCACTAAAGATTGGAGGCCACCTAAATCTCTACTGAGGGATTGATGGAGGAACCTGTGGTACAAACTCCGTACAATGGAATCCTACACAGCTGTGACAGGAACTGAGGACGATTGCTGTAGACTATATTCTAGAGTAGAGGAAGTAAAGAATGGGATCTGTGGTATGCTAACATTGTGTAGGAAGGGAGGGAACAAATTAAAAAAAACAGATGCATATTTGTTTTCTTTTGTTTTTAATGCCATAGAAAGTATGTTATACCAAGAACTAATAAGTCACTTCCCTTTGTAGTGGTGGTAGGGAGCTGGATAGTGATGGCACCTAGATCTGTATCTTGTTTTATACTTTTTACGTTTAGATCCTTCTGGTGTTTCCTATAACTGAAGAAAAAAAACCCTCTTAAAACTAAGAGTTAACTATATCAAGCTGGAAGTAAAACCACATATAGAATTTTTTCAAGTGACTTTAAAACACAGCATTTTGTCTGCAGTTTCCTAATGAAATGTATCCTATGTTTCCTACAGATGAAACAATCACAAAGAAATCTGAAACTGCATTCAGTATTTTTATTTTTAACAGTGATATTAGTGCTACCATTTTGGAAACTGCATATTTATAGATGTTAGAGCATGTATTATGTTAGGGAACTCACAAACCAAGAGTTTCAGCACAAAGAGATACAAGACCTAAATAAAAACCCTGCAATTGTATATTAAAATAGTAAATACCAGTAAAATACTGTGATTTATTTTTCTTTTTCTGAAAAACACGTATCATATAGTTTTTTTCCACTGAAAGTTCTTGAAGCAATCACAGCCCAGTGGTGAGGCCCAGCCTAGTACCAAGACTGTCCCACTAAAGGAACAGGGAAAGGATAAGATGAGGTTGGACCATTTGTGTCTGAAAGCAAGGAAACAATGAGAGTGAGTTCATGTCACAAGGACCCAGGAGCCAACTTAAAGATGGAGCAATTTGAGCATCAGAAAGGATAGAGAAAGGATAATGGAGGAGGTGCCTGGGTGCCTCAGTTGGTTAAGCAACTGCCTTCAGCTCCTGTCCCGATCCCGGAGTCCTGCACAGGGCTCCCAGCTCCACGGGGAGTCTGCTTCTCCCTCTGACCTCGCCTCTCATGCTCTCTCTCACTGTCTCTCAAATAAATAAAATATCTTAAAAAAAAAAAAAAAGAATAGTGGATTGAAATACAAAATACAATAAAAATCCACAAAGTTGTAACGATAGTTGAAAACTGGGTCACCTTTGGAGGTTACTAGGGCACCAAACCATTATTTTGAAAATGGCTGACCAGGGGTCGCCTGGGTGGCTCAGGTGGTTTGGGTTGGTTAAACATCTGCCTTCAGCTCAGGTCATGATCGCCAGGTCCTGGGATTGAGCCCCACGTCAGGCTCCTTGCTCAACTGGGAGCCTGCCTCTCCCTCTGTCTGCCACTCACCCTGCTTGAGCTCTCTCTTTCTCAATCAAATAAATAAATCTTAAAAAGAAAATGGCTAACCGAAAAAATAAAAAGCATTTATCCTGACCTCTTTTTGTATTAGGTTAACTTGATA